CAGAGCTATTATGTTTGGTTTTGAACATCCACATCCTTAATACTGTGGCTGTGGATGAAACCTGAATTGCTGAAGAGAGCTGACTTGTGAATGATTGTCACATTCAGAGGTGACATTAGCATTAGGTATTTAGGGACTGTATTTCATTTCTCTTTGCTTTCATTTAATGATATTTCTGCTCTCTTTCCTGTGCTATTCAAGTGCGGTTAAAGATGCACACACATACTGGTAAATTGTTTTTTGTTTCCTATATGGTGTTAGGCACATGCTTTTCTCTAATCCTTAAATTATACTATAAATAATTCTTTCTAATATTAATAACTCCTCAGTCAGCATAGCACTTTAATACTTAAAAGGTTATACAGAGCTTGTAAGATCTGACTTCAAGGCACTTCGTGTCTGTTTCTAATCTAAAAGAGAATGGAAGCAGGGGTGGATAACTAGCCTCTGGTTAGCTCAATCTTTTATACCAATGAAAGTTACAAACCACATTTGTCAAGATCAAATCAAGATTTCTATGGTTATGTAGGGCAGACTGCACTTTCAGCATTTATGTGAATGGTACATGGAAATCCACCACAAGTATTAATCTGAATAAAATTCTAACCATATACCCCCCCCAAAAAAAAAAAAAAAAAAAAAAACAGACTTTTTAAAGCACAGGAAATAATTCAGCTTATTATTTAAGAAGACATGGTTTTGCCTGTTTGCTTGCAGTAGGAGCTTTTTTAATGCTATTAATCATACTAACTACCATAGCACTCAAGCAGCCTAATTGCACTGTACCTATATAGAGCCTAATACAGAAGATATAAGGGGCCATTCTCCAAAGATGCAGACCTGAAAGGCAACAGGGATATGGGCTGTGAGTCTGCATAAGGATTGTCTTGACTTGCTATCATTATAAATATCACCTCAGGCCTTGTGCTGTGTTGATTAGATGCTGTGCTTTCGGGCAAACTGCATAGGTAGAGCACATTTTCAGCTGTCCAGAATATATTGCACAGAAACACACTGTATACCCTTTCCACATATTTCCAAACATGCAAACTGAAAATAGCCATAAGTTAATTATTGATCTCATGATTAACTTATTTGTGTCTGAGTGATATTTTCAAGATTAAACACACTACATTATAGGAAAGCTGCTATTGTGGTGTTGCCAAATATTGATCAGGAGTTTGTCTCCCTAATTAGGTCTAGTTTCAGATAAAAGGAAGAGCCTTGTTTTGAATAATCATGAACGCAAAGAGAGGGTATTCAAGAAGTTTCCAGTTCAGACAAGCACACTGATAACTGAGGGAAGGTCTTCACAGAGCAAGTATTAGCTTTTTTCATTGTTATTCTCTTTTTCTTGTGGAAAAATTCCAGTAAAGGCTAAGCATGTAGGATCTTGGTAAGGATCTCAATGAAAATATTAAATAATTGCAGGAGAAGTTTGCAAATACTATCTATAGTGAAAAATATCAATAGCAACCAGTTTTCCATAAACGTTAGGAAACATCCAAGCATTGTAAATTGATTTCGTTATAGAATGATATCTATAGCTAAACTGAGAATACAGGTCTCACTTTAAAACAAGAGAACGCATTTTTGTAAATCAGAGGAAAAAAATGCTGAAATCATTATTAGAAACTAGGAACATGAGTTCTCAGCACACATGAAGGCCAAGATCAAATGTGATCCTTGTAAAAATAAAAATGAGAGTTTGAGTAAAGGACTGTATTAATAGGACCTCAGTGACAAATCCATATCCTATTCCAGAGTTTACACTTTTAAAAGGATAATGATAAATGGTAAGGTTGAAAAAAGCCTTGCAAAGATGAATCATAGTCTGGAAAGCCTTGTAGTAAGAGACTAAGGAAACAGAATCTAATTATCTCAACAATAAGAAGGTTAGAAGGTTGACTAATAATGATCTGTAAAGTATGTAAGTTCTAAAAAAGAAGTTAATACTAAAAGGCTCTTTAATTCAATAGACAAATCCAAAGTGAAGTTCAATTCTGTAGGAATGCAAGTCAGGAATGTAAGTTTGAAAGTGAGAATAATTAGGCACTGGTAAAATTTACTCAGATGTTGTGGAATTGAAAACTTTTAATTATTTTATTTTTTTATTATTATTATTTTTAAGGAAAAACTCACATACTTTAGTTCAACAGCAAATAGATGACTTTATGGAAAAAAAACCCAACCAACTGACAAAAAAACAACGAAAAAAAGAAAACCAAAAAACCAAACCAAAACCAAAGAAGCAAACCTGACAATTAAAAAACAAACTGATGAAGCACTTAAGCTGAAATTATATGAAAGATCTCTGTAGACAATTATAATGGTCTCTTCTAGCTTTGACTTTACAGAAGGATGTCCAGAGCCCAGCAAGAGTTTCCACTCTTATAGGACTGAAACACTGGCTCTGTTAAAGTCAATATCTGTAACCCCTTTATGAAACTTAAGGTTGCATCTCAGGAAGGGTATAACGACAAATTTCTGTATTTTGCTCCCTAAAAAAAAAGGACCTAAATATATAAAGTGAACTTTCTGTGCTATTATCCACATCTACAGTATTTTGGGGGTTGGACCTTTCTCAGAAGGAGAAAACAACACTTAAAGTTTTAGTAAAAAATGCTAAGGAAAAGGTAATTCCCTTCCCTTCTGTTATACTTTCTTGCTACAGAAAAAAATTGTGGAAATTTCACTATGATTGAACATGGGAGATTAAATCATGCCTCAGTTTGACTGACACACAAAAAGAAGTTGCACAGGATGGAACCCAGGAGAGTTTGGCCTGTCTTCAGTCAGACTGCCAGTATTGTGATTTCTTTAGATTTCACCGTTTACAAGTCGAGTTGAGTTGGGTTAATACTATAACACAATGCCTCCTTGTAAGAAGATACAGTGTTACTTAGCAAGTGGCATTCTTCTCTCTGAATGATTGCTCCTGGGCTCCTGCTTGCTGTTATAAAATATGCAGTGGATTGCTGCAGATAACCTCCCAGATAAGCCACAGCTTCCAACTGTACATTTAGCTTTTTGAAAGTTGTAAGAGGAGATGAGTACATCCCACTGTTCTGAGCAAACACCTTTCACTAAAATCCTTGGATTGCCTACTTGTGTAGAGTCTGCGGAAAGTTTAGCTTTATTGCTGTGTTTGAGAATATTTGGTTCACAGTTGCAACCACTAGTTGCAAATATTAGATATAATCCTTTTGTAACCTGCAATAAATTGCCTTCTGATATTACAACACAGGTGGGAGATCATTATTCAGATTAACTAGTGTATACTTTAATATCCTCCAAATTTATCTTGTAAAATACATGACATACTCATCAAAATAAAGACTGTCCTGCAAAATTTGGGACAGATGGCAGTGCAAGATGACATCTTTTCTAAATGTGTCAAAATGTTCACTCATATGATTGGTTGCACATTCTGCGTGAGTTATTAAAATGACAAAAGCAGTAGAATTCACTTTCATGAACACCTGCTGTTAAGAGTCACTTAAAATAATGCAAAACATATAATTAAGGAATATAAAAATAATTATTTCACTGACAAATAAGTTAACAGTTTAACGTAGCTATTGCATTGCTTCAAATGTTTTAAGTGAGTGAATTACACCTGTACTTAGATTTACAACATTCAAAACCAGAACATGCCTTCCTAAATGATACCGAATGAATACCATATAACAAAACACTATATAAGCACAGACACACAACAGGCCTACTGTTGTCTGCTAGATGGTATCTTTAGATCAGATAGTATATATTCCTTTACCACTTGAAACAGGAGAACATAGAAGTAATTGATAAGCCAAATATCACAGCCAGAACTCAGATTTGAGAAAACAAAGCACTATCTGCTCTCTTCTGAGGATCTGACATTGTGGTAGAAGCAAAGCATCTAGAAAAGAATAGCTTCTGATTTATTTTGTCCTTTCCTTCAGCATGTGAAAATGTCAGAGACTCAGCTTATGAAGTGTAATAGAAGTCTTGTGTCAGGAAGTCTCCTCAAGACATGAATATGATTTTTGCTTCAAATTATGGAAAGATCTTCAAGACCTCTTTGTTCTCTGTTTTGTTCTCATAGAAATCAGCCAGTCCTCACCTGATCTCAGTGCAGGGTCTTGCGCTCTGGGTAATGTTAAGTGCTGTTATTAAACCCATTAAAGCAACATGCTGTGGAGTGAAACAAGGTGCATCTGTTGGAGGCCTGAGCACATACTTGCTACACCACCCTCAGTCTGAAATTATACATGGGAAGTGAACTGGAGACCCTGCGTTGTAGTACTTAGCAATAACCACAGGCCCTCCTCTTCAGCCCTTACACTTGACCTTCACAACAGTGGTTAGCTAACTAAAATAGGGACATTAAATAACTGGTCTCTTTGTGGGGAAAAAACAACAACAAAAAAAATCAACCAAAGCGAAATCAACCAAAACCACCACCAACCCCCAAAATCTAACACACAAAAACCCCAACCATAACTGAAATAAAATGACTGGACACTGGGCAAATGTCTACTTTGTTATTTTTTTGTATGGGAGGAAAGGCAACAGGAACAAAACGCTTCAGTGGCTGGTATGCAATTATACTGTTAGCTGCTTGCAGATGCATCTTGGGGAACATGGTAACGACAGCCTGGTACTGTAGAGGCTGCAGCTTTCAAGGGTTAACAGAGACCGCACTTGCTGAACGCGATCCCGGAGTAAGGAGAGCGACAGCCTAAACTGCGTGATTCCCCCCCGGCATCGACACCCGCACACCGGCACACTCACCCCGCGGTGTGCACAGGCCCCCTCCCCGGGCGGCCGGCGCCGGCGGCCGATCCCCGCTCCCCGGGGCTGCGGCGCTCCCGGGCCGGGGCTGAGGATGGAGACGGGGTTTCTGTAGCGATGGGGCCGGCGGCGGGGAGCCATTGGCTGCTGGCTTCGCAAATTTCATTCAGTTTGGTCCAATCGCAGGAGGAGAGCGCCTGGTACAGCCTCGACCTCTCCCCCCACCCGCTCTTCCCCCCCTCCCTCTCCCCCCTCTCCCTCCCAGCTCGCCTCGCCTTGCAGATCAGTCTCTCCCGGCTCGGTTTCTCTGCATAGGCAATCACGGCTCCGGCTCGCAGATCCAACTCTCACTCTCGCACTGATTGCAATGAATTTTCTGCCCGAATGTAGGTCTCTTACAACCGAGAGCACGAGTTTCCTCCAATTCCAGTGCTGCTGTCTTTCTTGTCGTTATTTTTAATTTTTCATTCGCTCCCCCCCCCACCCCCCCCTTCGTCGTCGTTGCATTCCTTTGGAGAAGGGAATCGCGTTGGATTCCAAAAACAAGAGCAGGAACCGTGTGTGAATAATCTCGGCTGCATGATAGCCCGAGAGGATTTCCTGAATCTGTGAAAAAGACCCCTGTGCTTCTGCATCTATTCCGGTGTTAAGGTAGGAGTGCTGGATTTGCCGTTCGAGTGCTCATTTTCGTTTTTCTCTGTTGCTTCCCCCTACCTTTCTTCTCTATTTTTTTTTTCCCCCGCGAGGGTGGGGGAGAGGGAGAGGTGTTGCAGTTGCTACTCTGGCAAAGGGCGAGCAGTTTGCTGCAGTCGTCTGTGCTTTTACTTTTCCCATCGTGATAAAGCGATACTTTCTTTCTGCCATCTCCACCATCATCTGCGATCTGGTTGTCACATATGCATATTTATGCAAATTTCTTCTTTTTTTTTTTTTTTTTTTTTTTTTTAATCCGCTCCGGTCTCGTCTCCTACATTGCCCTCTTGCACCATAATTTGTTTGTAGGCATTTTGCTGCAATCAGCTATTTGGAAAGGGTCTGGGGTTCTGTGTGAGATGTTTACAAAGTAGCTCTGCCTTACAGCCAAATAAACAGAAGAGTGTGGAGGAGAGGAGGGAAAAAATATCTGCAGTACAGGCAGCAAGGGAAAGAACGAAGCCACAGTTTCCTGCCAGCGCGGAGAGGAGCAGGAGCGGTACCTCATGCCCTGTGTGCGCCTCTGGTTATCGGGGAAACACAAAACCAACACATAGGGCTCTGGTTAACCACTTCCCTGGCCGCCTCCGCAACCACAGAGAGGCAGAAGGGAGACGGTGGTGGGGGGAGAAGGAGGGAGGCTGCTGCTCAGAGGAAATCTGTCTCTTTTTGGGTTAAGCGGTTCACCCGCTTTGACTAAAGCCGAACCGCGATGGTTCTTTTTGTTTCTTTCTCTCCCCCCCCCCCCCCTTTTTCTCACTGTGGGCTGAGGTAAAATGCCCGGTCCTATGGTGGGCATGGGTATCCGCACTCAGTGGAGCGGGGAACCAGCGCTGGGCAGAGCCAGCGTGCGCGGAGCCCTGGCGCGGGTTAATGAATGGAGAACGGGAGTAACAAGAAAGACAAAAAGGCACCACCATTGCTCCCCCCGAAGGCAGGCACCACCCTCCCCCCGCAACCCCAGCCCGACAGTAAATCGTCCCTCCGCACAGCCGGGGGGGCTGGCGGCGTGAGGCGCCGCCGCGGTTTGCCCCTTCCCCAAGGGAGAAGCCCCGCAGCCCCCACCCACCGACCGGCACAGGCCCATCACACGGGTGGTGTTGGAACGGGGAGGGGGGGAAGCAGCGGAGGCGCCGGCAGTCACCGTTCAGCCCCAGCACCCCACACACGTTTGTGTGCGCTGGCGCGCAGGGCTCGGGGGGGGAAGGGGGCGCCCCCGGGCAGCGGCTGCGGCGTGGAGGGATGGCGGGGAACGGGCCCGTGCCGGTGCCCCGCGCGGGGGTGAGGGCAGGCGGCGGCGCGACCGGGACATCGGCCGGTTCGGGAGCGCGGCTTTTGGGGCGGGGGGGTGCGGTGGAAGAATGGAAGTTTGCGGAGAACGCGGGTGCAGCAGGGGCGGAGCGCGGCCGCCAGGTGGCGCTGCGGCGCCTTCCAGCAGAGCCGCCACCTTCCGCACCGCGGGGGTTGTCCCGCGTCCGCCGCTGGGTCCCGCCGTTGTGTCCCGCCGTTGTTGGGGCGGGTCGGCCGCGTTAGGGTCGGGGGTTTGGTTCTGTGTCCGCGTTGGGGTGGGGGTGAGCGCTTGGAGAGGGGAAAACATCCGGAGGGGAGGTGGGGGCGCAGAATTTCCCCTGCCCCAGGCCCGGCCGGGCTGCAGCAGGGAGCAGGGACGTGTGATAGCTGCGTGAACTGGTGGTGGTGCGGGGTGCCTGTGGTCAGCGTTTGGGTCGGAGGCAAAATGCGTGGTGGGACTTTCTGCAAGTTACTGTGGTAAGGGTGGCAGAAAAAGGTGTGTAAGTTTAGACGTTTTGTGTTTAAAAAAAACACAGAGGACAAAAAAAGGAAAAAAAAAGAAAAAAATAGAAAAAAGGAAAGTAAAAAGAAAAGAAAATGAAAAGAAAAAGGAAAGGAAAAGAGAGCTCTTTAGCCATGTTTGATCTGTGTTGAAAGCAAATGTAAAATTCTAGACTGACTTTTTGTTTTTAAATGATTGATAATGTTAAGGGGATACATGCACATGTTTAGAAGTAGGTGATCAGATGGCAAAGCTTAACTGGATGAATTTACAAGCAGTTACGCTAGAATGGAAATCTCTGATATTTTTATCCTCCCAAGCCATAAATATAACTGCTAATTTAGATATCTCATTAAATGGAAGGGCAGTAGTCCGCATCCCATGGGACACAAGTTTAATAATTATCAAATGGATAAATCCTGTCAACATCAAAGAAATAAACTGTCACCCTAAGAAAAGAAGTAATCATATCCACTGATGGCAATTCCTAGATAACACAACTCTGCTTTATAAAACTGAGCAGATTTGTATATCAAATGAACCTTGAATTTTGTTTTGATTTTGCTTACAACATATGCATTTGATATTCTAACTATTAATATTACCTATGTGGGCTTCTATACAGGTAGCATCCGTACAGATGTGTGTTAAGGCAGGACATCTGAAATATTTTTGCCTATACTACTGAGTAGAAGGCTGCATGGATTGTCTTATGAGTCATATTCCAGTGAAAGATTAAAGACTGAGAACATGAAAACATGACGTGCTGTTTCTGGTAACTCAAACCAACAAGATCTATGATGGCATGCAATTTTCTCTGAACAATATAAAATGAAATGTAGTTGTGTCCTACTCATTTTTATAATCTTGGAAGTATTACCCGTTTGTGTGTAAGTACACCTGTTGTTGCTCTCTAGTCATAGGTCTGGAAATCATATAGGTGAAATTACTGTTGGTGTGCTGTGTGCTTCTACAACCTATTAAGTTGTACCAGATACTAAAACTGAAATTCAGTTTGGCATCCAAAATGTCTTGGTCCTCAAGAGGATTCTAATTCAAAGCCAATTCAAAATTATTTTTTTTATTATTTTTTTTCTTCATTTACTTTAGTGGCCTTTAGGTTTGGTCTCTACTGGAGAGCATTTGTGTAGACAAGAAAATACATGTTTTCTTCCTCCTGCATTTCTGGAGGGAGTGAATACTTGCCTAGTATTTTTTTTTAAATGCAGTGCTGCATCATAGACATGTTGATCGTAAATTCAAAAATTCCTAATGTTTGTTCTTGATCATCAAAACCCAGTGGTCAGTGGTGAAGTGTCATTTCTTTTAAAGGTATCACAATGCAAGCAAACAAAACCAGGCCTCATAGTGTAAATGAAACAGGCCAACTGGGTCAAAGTAAGACAAGTGGCAAAACCAGTAGGTTTACTGGAGATGCCGTGCTAGCCTGTCTATTTTATATTCTTTCAAATACTTTATCTTTTTAGCTGATCCTATTTTCTTGGGCAGATCATTCACCTGACAATTCCTAATAGGCATCCTTCAGCTGAAGACCTGTCGTACAGAGATGAAGGCAAGAGTCAGAAAGAAAAACTGTTTTAACTGAAGCTTTGTGTAAAAGATACCATATAGAAACAAAGATTTGGTTTTTTGTTGTTTTTTTTTTGGTTTGGTGGGGTTTTTTTGTTTGTTTGGTTTTTTTTTGACAAAAGAGTGATTCAAGGAACATTTACTGTCTGCTGCATAGAGGTTTGCACATTTGTTTTTGACAGGTTCTCAATGCAGCCTCCTCTTGGCCTTTCAAACACGCATGATGCTATTTGATGGCTGAATCACATAGTGTAAAGAACAGCTCCACCTGGGTGGGACAGGAATAAGCATCATGCTATAACCAGCATATAATTTAGTCATTCTGTCACTTGAAGACTTGTCATTGAAAAGATTCAGGATCTTTGCTGCACGTGTAAGGTTGGTTAGTTATATGCACTGAATCATAAGGCTGTGAGTCTTTAAAAGAAACCAAAACCTAATAGAAAAACCCAAACTTAAACGTAAGCTGCACAAATCGATGTAAGTATCTCATGTATAGCTGCAGCTATCCTCTATCATAGTTCAACTCAGGTACTTTAAAGCAATGTTTGTAAAGCATTTCTGCTGTGGGTGATTTTGATCCTCACACCTGACAGGGTTATGTACTCTGTCAACTTTTAATAGTGCTGTACTTCTCATTATATTTACTTTAGTAGTTCCCATACTGGATTTGAAGAGGAAAAAACCAAAAACCCAAACAAAAAGAAACTAAAACCCCACACCAGTTAGAACTCCTCAAACAACAAAGAAAAACAACCCAACTTGCTGTTTAGCGGAGCTGTTTTTTTTTTTCCAGTACTCTTGGAAAAAATATTTGCAGTGAGATAGGGCACAATGCTAATTGACTTCAAACAACTTGAAATGGATATAAAGGTAGAGAAGATAAAATTGAAAAAATGATTAATAGCTTGCAGTACTTTATTTAAATTTAAAGGTCGAAAATTATTCTGGAAGATGTTACAGGCACACTGTCCCCATGTAAAGTAATGGGGATGAATTCTGATATTAAAAATAAGCTGTGTATGAAGCAGGTTACTTTATGTCTTGCATGCATATGTTGCATGAAGACCTGAATAGAAGCAGCCCATGTAGAACACTGGCTTTTCATGTGTGATCTGCAGTAGGGCTTTAGCAGTGGCATGGCTAATTCAAGCCAGCTGCATGATCTCTAGCTAGGAATGCTCAGATTTGTACTCTAATAATCTAAAAATAAATTGTAGTCACAATGCATGATTCTTCCTTTTGTCTGTCTTCTGTGCCGAGCCCACACACCCCTCAATGTCATAGGATGTATTTCATTAAGTGTATGCTTCTGACTAGCTTCCGTAGAGGGTTAGGGTTTTCTATGCTTGTCTGTCTTTTGTTATTTATGTGCTCACTGAGATTGGCAACTTGATGGGGAGGCTGAGCCTTTCAGGAGAGGTAAGCCTTGAAAATGAACCACAGTCTTAGTAATTATGCAGTGGTTGTTACGATTTCATATATAGAATGAATTAGCTCATTTTTATATACTTGTATATAAATTTAAATTAATAAAAAATATTGAGATTTGGTTACACAAATAGAGACTAAGCCA